CTTTTCAGATTTCCAGAGCTTGTAGCTAAGTGCAAGAAATTGCCGGAGAGGATTTTCCCACTATTGGAGCTCTACGAAGCTCTCTCTGATATCCAGCCAGATTTAGAATTGATATTTGACTCTGAATCAACCTCAAAGACAAAACAGCAGGCCGTTTCATCACTACATGGACTTGGCGAATCAATCCGTGCCATTCTTTCTGACTTTGAATCAACAATTCAAAAGGACTCGTCAAAAACTCTAATCGTTGGTGGCGGGATTCACCCACTGACCCAAAAGGTTACGAGTTACATATCTTCACTTGCAGATTACAGCAGGATTCTCTCAGACATTGTTGCTGATTCTTCACCACCAAGAAATACAGCTTTCCCTGAAGCTTACTTTGAGAGTCCAAACTATGATGCCAGTTCAACACCAGCAGTCTCAGTTCACCTAGCTTGGCTCATTTTAGTCCTTTTATGCAAGCTTGATAGAAAAGCAGAAGGGTACAAAGATATGTCTTTGTCATACCTATTCCTAGCAAACAATCTTCAGTTTGTCCTTGATAAAGTTTGTACAACTCGCCTTTATGTGCTTCTCGGTGAGGATTGGGTGTTCAAGCATGCCGAGAAGGTTATACAATATGCTTCCACCTATGAAACAATGGCATGGGGTAACGTCTTCTCATCTTTACCAGAGAAAAATTCTCCACTACTGTCTCCTGAAGCAGCAAAGGAATGTTTTCAGAGGTTCAATGCAGCTTTTGAAGAAGCATATAAGAAACAAGCATCATGGGTTGTGCCGGATAGGAGGTTGGGGGATGAATTGAAGGTGTCAATTGCAAAAGAACTTATACCAGCATACAGAGAATTTTATGACACGCATAAGGTGATGTTGAGGAGGGTGCAAGATTTTGAGGTGTTTGTAAGGTTCAGCCCTGACGATCTTGGGAATTACCTCTCGGATTTGTTTCATGGAACTGCCATTTCAGGCAGCACCTCACCTCGTACACCGCGATAAAGTCAATCTCCGTGAAACGATAGAACAATAACTGTCATAGGCTTACAGCACCTGTTACTTCCTTTGTAATTATGTTTCCATTGTGTGAGTTCTTGCTGTTAAGTAGCAGTCAGCCAGTGCCGCAGAAAGTCAACTATAATTGCTTCGCATCTCTACTCATATTCTGCAAAGATGGTGATTTCCCAATTGCAGTTTCAAACAGTGGTTATACCAGAATAAGATTTTTTAGCTGAGAAAATATGGCTAAAAATTCAAAATTGGTGAAGGATATAAAAATATTTCGACTTCAAATTTTTAAATATGCATGAAGGATTTAGATTAAGTTGAGAGTCAAAGAGCTTGTGAAAATATCATCAGCTTCAATATCAAAGCCAACTTGGTTTAAGTTTTAAAACAAGATTTTATACATTACATATTTAGTATATATCTAAGATCAAGGACTTTGTAATTCAACATTACCTTTTTATGCTTTTGGGAACCAGGAAGTAATGCAATATGCAAAGAATTCTATTTGACATGGCATATCAGTTTCAGAAACGACCCTTGTCTGGAATAGATTTCATTCGGCATATAACAAGCCTGCATGCCATCAACCATTGATGATTTTTTCTCAGCTAAAAATAAAGACTTGGAATATTGATTAAAAAATAAAGGTATATAAAGGACAATAGCAGCGCATTACCCTTTTCTGTATAAAACTTCAGAGTCCTTTTCTTCTGTCCTGCTTCATATATATATTGCATTGAGAATATACCTGATAAAACCACAGTAGAATGATACTACAATTAAGAAGCTGTGTATCTTGCTGCAAATCGATGTGCTAAAATTCTAAATGCAAAACAACGCATATGCTTAATCACAACAAAGCACCATCATTTTTCTTCCCTAGATGGGCTTCTATGCCCGCGCAAACAGCATAAACTCTCCAATTCCTTGTATAATTGTTGTACCAGAAACCTCAAACACAGCCCCGCATTGGTTCCTGTCTCCTGCAACCCTCACGTAGTGATCCTGGCCCATCATCTGAAAAAACAACAGAAACGTAAACGTAATAACATATATAGTTTGATTATTAAGGTTGTTAGGGAAGGATTAATTAATTGTTGATTGAAAAGGCAATTTTGAGAGGAGAAAGGACCAGCCAAGGTGGTGACAGAGTAGAGAGGACCGTGGAGGCCACCGATGGAGAACCGGCCAAACCCTTCTGCTCGACCACCCAGGGCTCTCAAGCTGAAATCCACGTCAGCGTAAGGCAGCGAGGCCATTTGTCTTTTCTGTTAAAGATATTGAAATTCAATATTAAGGATTTATAGTTTATAAAAATTTTAATATTAATTAAAAAAATCTTAATGAAAAAGAATTTATAATAAACTAGTTTATTATAATCTAGTTTATTATATCCTTGTTTAAATAAAATATTACATTCTTTATCATATTAAAATTTATTTTAAATAATTTAATTAATAATTAATTAAGATTAGACTTGTAAACTCAAATATTAAAAAAAAAATAGATGTATCTTTGAAGAAAATTCTTTATAAAATATCATTACATTCTTTATCATATTAAAATTTATTTTAAATAATTTAATTAATAATTAATTAAGATTAGACTTGTAATCTCAAATATTAAAAAAAAAAAGTAAAAATGTGTCTTTGAAGAAAATTCTTTATAAAATATCGTTCGTCTCATCCTTCTTCTTTTTATATTTGTTTTTATAAATTAGTTATCATATCTTATTTTTATTTTTCTTTTCTAATAAGTGGTATCAGAATTTAAATTTAGTTATTTAACATGGTTAATTCAAACCTTCCACTTTAATATTCTAAATTAACAAAGAACAACTATCAAACTTAATATATTGGAGGAAAAGTTTATTCTCTCCTGCACCTTCTCTATCAGCTCGAGTAGTTAATCGTGTTACAAGATGAGATCAGATTCAACCTCTGAGGAATGGGCTGCAGTGCAAGCATTATATCCATTGATCGGGTGCAGCAGTTGTTCAAGTCATGCAAGAATCTCTGTCAGCTCGAGTAGTTAATCGTTACAAGATGAGATCAGACATTAAAACAGTCAACCTCTGAGGAATGGGCTGCCGCGCAAGCATTATATCCATCGATCGGGTGCTGCAGCAGTTGTTCAAGTCATGCAAGAATTCATTCGCTGTTGTTGCGAGTACAGAAAAAGGGACATAATTCTCCAACGAGTCGAGGGTGAAGTAAGGTTTTAAGTTAATTTTCAATTCAGATAAATAAGTGTTAATCTTTTAAGTATTTTTTTAGCATTATAATTTTTTATTATTTGTGTTTAATAAAATAAATCAAAAAATATTAATATTGATTAAATATTAAATCAAAAAGCTTATCTTCCTTATAAAAATAAATGATACATTACGAATAAATATTTAACCCCAATTATTATTTTTATTTATTTTATTTTATCTTAGAGGTTTTTATAAATGTGGCATGCAATTATAATTTATTTATATAAAATATAAAAGGGAAAAAATAAAAATAAGTCATAATAATATCTTTAAGAAATTATAAAATTAAAAAACAATTAAAAATACTAATTGATATTCTAAAAATCAATGAAAATTAAAGAGAAAATATTAATTTTAGATTTTAAATTAGACTGGGCCTGTAAGGCCCGTGCACTCAGACACACATAAAAAGTCGTATGTTGTGGCAAACAACCTATAATTTGTTGCATAATGTTCAAAGTGATCGAAAAATTGAAACCCTTGTTTTCATACCCTAAAATCCATATTCAACTTGTTTACAACTTAAAGCACCTAAAAACATCGTATCAACCTCAATAAACTCAACTACAATTCAATTACTCTGAAAACCAAAATTAAATAAGTGAAATCTTTATGGGTCCTAATCTAATTTTTTTTAGCATGATTAGAAAAAAAAATCAAAATTGCTCAAAATGTGAAATGCCAGGATAATCAGGGCTAACCAGTAAATACACTAAACTTTAGAGAGAAAATTGAAGTTCTCAACGCCAATATCCAAATGGGGTCATATTGTGTTTTTTGTTGAATTTGTTTTTTGTTCTTTTAAGTTTTTTAATCACAACTAAAGTTTTATTTCACAGAATTGATCTTTAATTCATCATTTAAATATTCCTGGACACCTTGTATATGTGAGAGGATGCAAATTAAAAAAATATCCTAACACATAAAATCATACTAATACAACTTAAAAGGATGGAATTGCAAATAAAAAAAGTTGGATAACTAAGATGTGCATGAGACACTGTTCCTTGTTCCTGATCTGTATATTTAGTAATTGTAATTGCAATGTAATTCGTAACAGGACCTTTTGTCCCTCTCATTATTTTTTTATTAATAATATCTTACATGCATTTTAATTAATTTCATAAATCCTAAAATTAATAATCAAATAAACTTTTAATAAAAGAAATCCAAACTTATAACTATTAGAAAAATCAACTGTCGTAATAAACTATTGGAGTATAAACTCAATGCCTTACCATTTAACTGTCCTAATGTCTTACCAATTAATGTGGGTCCCTCTCATTAATTTGCTTCACACAGAATTGCGAGTTTTTTTTTTAACACGGTAAAAAAATAATAATAATAACGCATTTGAAAAATTAATTAGGAATCTACAATAGTTTCAAGAGTTGTAAATGGTACATGTGACTCACATGCATCTGCAACTCGCGTTTCTCATAAAGCATCTCCAACATCACCATGAATGACCTTTCGGCCCTCTCACCCGGAACCCAAAAACTTTGATTTCTCATATGGTGTTGGCGGATGAAACTGGTTGCCGGCGGCGTGAGTTTGAGCTCTGCATCTTCATCTCCTGCCCATGTGCTACAGTGTTCGGTTCGTGCCACATTGGTCTTTGTTGGTCGGTCTTCGTCGGTCGCTTTCCTCTTACGATTGAACGAGATTGGTGCTTGTTGCTAGATCGCTTTTCCTAGGCTATATCGACCTTCCTCCACACGTGAGATGCCTTTTTTTTTTTTTAGTTGAAGAGAGGCTGCAACAGCTTACGGGTTTGATTTGGTCAGGACTGCTTGGTGGTGAAGAGAGAGGTTTGATGGTGACAGGGGAAGTTAATTCTGGTGGTGGGTCAAACTCTGGCTGAGAGGAGGAACATACGACAATGTGGTGGAGCATGTCCTAAGTTGTGAAAGACAAAAAAATGGTGGTGAGTTTCGGGTGGCTGGCCTAAGTTGTGAAAGAAAAGAAAAAAATGGTGGTGAGTTTCGGGTGGCTATTATTGGTGGTGAGGGAAAAAAAAAATCTGTGATATTTTTTTTTCTTAAGAGAGGGTGGCGGCTTGGTTGCAACGGATGGGCTGCTAATTATTTTGCAAAACAAAGTTTTTGGATCATGGGAGAGAGCTAAAAGGCCATCCATGGCGATGCTGGAGATGTTCTATGAGAAATATGAACCGCAGATTGATGACATCTGTGAATTACGACTCTTTACGTTTCATTTTTTTAATTATTTTTTCACCTGTAATATTTTCCAAGATTTTTTTTTTTTCAATGTGCTAATCTATCGAAAGTCGAAACACTCCAAGATTGCAACTTGATCAACTGACAGCCTCATTTATGGTTGCTGTCGTTTCGGTCAATACAAGGTAGCTGTCAATGTGATGCTTAGAGACTCGTGTTATTACCAGCTCCATGAGCTTCCCATTCTTTTCACAGTTTGACAGCTTTGCCCTTGTCATATCAGATTCTGGCAAGCAGGGCAACGAGTTAATATATACCAGTTTTCTGTAATTATTAATTATAATAATCTGGAAAATTCTCCAATGCTTTTGATGCTCTGTGTCGTTCAGAGATTTCAGTATTTTGATTTCATTTATTTTGAATATACTGTTGAGATCTTTCATGACTTTCATTTAAAAAATTAATTAGCCTTTGTACCTTTAATTTTAGTTTTCACCACCTTATACTAAAATTAAATCTTTTTGTTACCTTTTTAAAGCTTCCTTCCATATTTTGCATACAAGAGTAATAAAATGACTTGAATGTCATCAACATCGATAATTTCTCAACGTAGTTGATTTTTTTCTTAATAGATTTGGTTTTAGATTTTGAAAATAATAAATAAATAAATTTAAGATTTATATAATTATTTTAATTCTCCAGTCAAGAAATTTGATTTTAATTTGTTTAAGAAACAAGCTAGTGGCCTAAATATTATTTATTTTGTCTTAAAAGAAAAAACATATCAGAAGCCTTAAAGTCTCTGCTTTGTTTTTTTCCCCTCTTAAAATCAAACTTTCTAGATGAAGAATTAAAACGTGATATTAAGTTTTACTATTGAGATTCTTATAGAAAAAAAATAAAATTGATTAGCTAGGTTCAAGCTTTGAGAATTCTACCCAAGTTCATGGCAAGACGTAAAAATCTAGAGACATCTCCAAGTCTATACGTACGATTGTGATTAATGATAGCTCGTGCTTCTTGTCAGGTTAATATAGGGCAGGTCCGTATATATCCGAACCATCCCGTGGTGCTCCATGGAGAACGTCGAACATTCAGAAAGAGTCTTAAATCCTTAACTAGAAGTCTGTCGAGGGCATTAAGTTTTTCCTCAACTCTAAACGGTCGGTGGAGGAATAATAGATTCCCGACCTGTGCAGATCAAGGGACTGTTTATTTGTATGTTTTTAAAGTATTTTTAAAAAAAAATTAAATTTTTTTATTTTTTATTTTACCTTAAATTAATATTTTTTATTGATTTAAAATTATTTTAATACGTTGACATCAAAAATAATTTTTTAAAAATAAAGAAAAAATTAATATTTTTAAAATAAAAAATATTTTAAAAGTAATTAAACTCTTAAAAAAACCCTCATACATCATGACATCTTATAGAGAATTAAGGGAAATCTCCAGTGTTTGTGTTGGATAGCTTAAATTAATATTTTTTATTGATTTAAAATTATTTTAATACGTTGACATCAAAAATAATTTTTTAAAAATAAAGAAAAAATTAATATTTTTAAAATAAAAAATATTTTAAAAGTAATTAAACTCTTAAAAAAACCCTCATATATCATGACATCTTATAGAGAATTAGGGGAAATCTCCAGTGTTTGTGTTGGATAGTATTAACTTGGATGGAAAAAACACATTCTTACCGAGCAATAAGCATGGCTGAGCTCCATGATCTGCAACACATCTCCTTCAACTTATTAAACCAGAATTATCCTTTTCATTGTCTGCTGCCTGCGAAGCACGATTACAGCAACATCAGAAATGAAAAATCACAAATGATCACTCATAGTGATGTGTTGGAAAATAAAAATTGCATCCAAAGGGAAGAAGTCCTAAATAACGTGCCTGTGAAATCCCACTCGTGTGCTTGGATATTAATGTTGTTTATGTGCCTCTAAAAGTCAATTAACTTGAGCTCATATAAAATTATCAATATCTTGTTCATATAAATAGGACTGAACAATTTATTTTTCACTTGCCCCGTTGATTCATCTTTCTGTGGGGGTGAGCTTTTTCCACTCTAGACCCTAGAGAGCCGAGCATTGTAGAGGTCAAGAGGTTGTAAAGTTTGTACGAGTCGTCTGTCCTGCTCATTTATTGCAACTTGATCGACCTCATTTACTGTGCGAGTTGTTTCTAGAAACAACTCGCACAATAAAGATTTGTTTTATTACAAGCGTCGAGCTTCCCATTCTTGTCAGAGACCGACAGCTTTGCACTGGCCATCTCAGAAACTGGAAGGCTGTGCAGCAAGTTGACAAATAGCGCCACGCCAGTTTTCTGTTACTCAAAAACTTTGGAAACTTCTGCAATGCTTTTGATGCTCTGAGCCAATGGAAATCTCGATGTTTTGGTGTTTTATTGCCCGCGTCGCAGCCAAGGTTCAAGCAAGGCACCAACAACAACAACAAACAAGCCGATGTACACGTGTTGCTCCATGTAGAACGTTGAGATCCAAACGTGTTGAGATCCTTAATACCGGAACTATAACATTACTATGAGATTTCTGCAGTAACTATGGGATGATTTAATTTCAATGTTGATCGAGATAAATAAAGAAAGATTTTAAAATAAAATAAAAAAATTCTGCTCGGCCTTTCACTGTGTAGCAAGATTTAATATATTGTGTATTGCTACAGGGCATACTTAATGCATTATACATTGTTAATGTACATTGACGATTTTACTCTACAGTTATAAAGAGAGAGCTAAGTTTTGGGAGGCATAATGGTCTTTGTAAGATGGCATTACAAATCTGTTTAGGGGTAAATAAGTCTCTTTGAATCTTTATTATGCAATGAAATTAGTAATTTATGGTTTTTTAGTTTCTTTAACGGCGTAATTATTTACTCTTGTAATTTTGTTTTTCTTGAAGTTGACGAGCTCAAGGTTGTTTTTGTAATCTCACTTTAGCTTCTTGTAATTATGAATCAGACTTTGGAGCCATAAGATCTTTCAAGATACGGTTGCATAATGGTCTTTTAATATGGTAAGATAGCATTACAAATCTGTTTAGGGGTAAATAAGTCTCTTTGAATCTTTATTATGCAATGAAATTAGTAATTTATGGTTTTTTAGTTTCTTTAACGGCGTAATTATTTACTCTTGTAATTTTGTTTTTCTTGAAGTTGACGAGCTCAAGGTTGTTTTTGTAATCTCACTTTAGCTTCTTGTAATTATGAATCAGACTTTGGAGCCATAAGATCTTTCAAGATACGTATATATATATATATATAAGGTTGAAGGTTGTTGATGCTTGCAATGGGAGAGCCCATGTACTTTGGGGCGCGTGTTAACTACTACCGCTATCGAACACCGTTTTTCATGACAACATTTAAAACAGTGCATTGAAAGCTTTTTATTTTCATGTGCTCATAAAGATGAATGCCATGGTGTGTGGTTATGGTGGACTTATTTCTCCCCCTTACTCTCTCTCTCTCTCTTCTATATGGCAAAACACACAAGCCTTTTTTCATTTGTTCTATTATACAATGTGATCTCGTTATTTTTATTTCCATTTAATTAGTTTTTTAATCTTTTGTAGTTCTTGGATTCAATTTTTTTTCAATCATTTGATTTCATTTATTTTTAATATTAAATTAGTCCTCATTTGAATTTTATCTATTTTATTTTTTATTTTTTATATATGTATAAAATGAAATAAATATCAACTAAAAAAACAATGATTAAATTTAAAATAAAATTTAAATTAAATTAAATTAAATCATGAGAGATGAAATTGAAGGGACAAAACTAATATATAAAAGATAAAAAATAAAATAGATAAATATATATAATTTTTTATTGAGTAATAAATAATAATTCAAGTATTGGTATCCATATGAATATCCAAAATTCAATTAATAATTTATAAATATCTAAATTTTTTATTGTAATAGGTAAGGCATGGATATAAAAACATCCACCACACAATTACTATTTGCCGTCCATGCTTAACAACATTTGATTTTAATTATTTTTTATCAAATTTTATATTTTTTTATTATTATTTATTTTGTTCAGATTCCTTTTTTTATTCTTTTTTTAATAATCCCTTAATGTTTTGTGATTAATATTATTTTGTCATTTTTTTTGAGTTTATCTTCAATGAAATTAGTCTCAAGCTCATAATCAAGGTTTTTTAATGAATTGGTTTTTATATTTTTTTTTATTGAATTATCTTAATTTTATATTCATAGTTACGGGTTAAAATTTTTTACTAATATTATTTATTTATTTATAAATTTTACTATTTACATGCTAAATTGTCTAATAATTAAGATTTAAATTTATTTTAAATGAGATTACTTTGCTATCACAATAAATTTTACATGCTAACTCATATAAATTCAATTTTTTTTTATTTTTCATTTTTATTATCAAAATTATACATGTTCATCACCCAGGTCAAGTTAATTACCCGATTCTTGTTTTTTTTCCTGAGAATATACTAGTTGCCTTGAATTCTATTTTTTGTTTTTTTTTTTAAAATTGATCTGCCACGCCATAACACAGGCACCCGTCTAGACAACGATTGCTTACATGCGCGTGTAAAATCCTTCTTATTCATCTTGCACTTTCAAAAGAAATCTGTGGGCATGTGAGATGGTGAATGGTTTCGGGGATTCAACTTCAAGCCCGTATACGTAGCAAGTCCTGTTCTACAGGCCTTGCCTCCATCAATGGCTGTGGCCTAGATATCTACAACTTCAATTTACGGCAAGCAACGATCCACGGAGCTGGTTAAGAAAATTAAACTTCCAAGAATCCAAAATTTTGACTTCATCCCTATTGGATGAAAACTGCATCACCTAAGGCAAATGGACATGCATAGAACTTGCATCAAACTTCAAATTGTACTATAAAAGGACTGAAGTTCGACACTTCTGATACACACACACACACAACTTCTATTACTCTCTTCCTTCCAATAGGGCCAATCATGATACTTTGTACTCTCTTCTTCATTATTTTCTGCCTTTGTAAGTTGGTTTTCCTGAAAAGAGAATCCTGTTGCTACATGCTGGCTTACGAGTGCTATAAACCTCCAGAGGATTGGAAGCTTGACACAGAAACTAGTGCAAAAATCGTCTTCAGAAATAAGAACCTGGAGATAGAAGAATACAAGTTTCTATTACAAACTATTGTTAGTTCTGGCATTGGTGAAGGAACGTATGTCCCTAGAAACATTATCTCAGGCCAGGAAGATTCCTCAACTCTCAAAGTTTCCATTACGGAAATGGATGATCTCATCTTTGACACACTCGACAAGCTCTTTGCGAAAACAGGAATTTCTCCATCAGAAATTGACATACTTGTTGTCAATGTTTCTTTGTTCTCTCCTGCACCTTCTCTAGCAGCTCGAGTAGTTAATCGTTACAAGATGAGATCAAACGTTAAAACTTTCAACCTCTCTGGAATGGGATGCAGTGCAAGCGTTGTATCCATTGATCTTGTGCAGCACTTGTTCAAGTCACACAAGAATGCATTCGCTGTCGTTGTGAGTACAGAATCGATAGGTCCAAATTGGTACCAAGGCAAAGAAAAATCCATGATGCTCTCAAACTGTCTGTTCCGTTCAGGAGGTTGCTCGATGCTCTTCACAAACAACAGCGCTTTAAATCGTCAAGCCATCTTCAGATTGAAACATCTTGTACGTACGCATCTTGGCTCAAAAGATGAGTCCTACGGATGCTGCACACAAACAGTAGATGACCTTGGCTATAAAGGTTTTCTCCTTACTAAAAGCCTTAAAAAATCTGCTGCTCAGGCTCTTGCTTTGAATCTCCGTGTCTTAGCACCTAAAATGTTACCAGTAAGTGAACTAATTCGCTATGTTTATGTATCTCTTCGAGAAAAGAAAACCAAAAGCACCAGTATTCAAGAAATGGGAGCAGGTTTGAATCTGAAGACTGGAGTAGACCATCTCTGTATACACCCGGGTGGAAGGGCAATTATTGATGAGGTTGGGAAAAGTTTAGGCCTTAGTACTTATGATCTTGAGCCAACTAGAATGGCACTTCATCGATTTGGCAATACATCAGCTGGTGGCCTTTGGTATGTTTTAGCCTACATGGAGGCCAAGCAGAGGCTTAAGAAAGGAAATAAAATACTAATGATCAGTCTCGGTGCAGGTTTCAAGTGCAACAACTGTGTGTGGGAGGTAATGAGGGACCTGGAGGATGTCAATGTTTGGAAAGACAGCATAGACCAATATCCTCCAGAAACCACAGTCAATCCATTCATCGAAAAGTATAGTTGGATCAATGAAGAATATCTCAGCTTTGTTAGATTTCACTAGATGCTAGTCCTGCCCAGATCTTTCCTTCTTTTGAACCATCCTGGCATGATTTCTATGTTTCTTTTCTTTATGATTTTGAGCAGCAGTCAGTATCAGAATATCCTTTGTTTCTTTTTGTCGCAGTTTGTGTGAAAGATTGATGTATCTTAGTATCTCAATGCCCACATTCGGTGCGGCATCAAATTTCTACTTATTTCTGCATGGACTAGGTGTTTTTTATTGCAAATTCTCTCTGAATTTCTATTATGCCATCTTTTCTTATCTTGTTTTTCCTTTCCCTTTTGGTTGGAACTTTCAACTTCCTGTCACGCTAGATGGATCATTCTGGCCTTGTTGATGAGACTGGGCTAGTTTTTAACAAAAGCAAAATTTATTATGTTCACATCCTAGCTCGATAAGAGCATGGTTATATCCACCTAAACAATAGAGATTCATATCGATGTTGCTTAAATCATGGGATTAGGACACCTGTTTTTTTTGCTAACTTATTAATCTCACCAGCTTCTTTGTGAAATTTATAGAGGCAGAGTGGTTCATATTTCTACATGGACCTTGTTTTTTTTTCACTTGTATAAGCTAAGCTTATAATTACTGCAATGTGACAGAGCAGGGTGATGGAAATACGTTTTTTTTCCTTGGTATGCTCACAACCTTAGAAGACTGGAGACATCGGCCTTGCTATCAATTCATCTCAGCATGCAGAAGCACCTGGTCATTAGAGAAGAATTTTTACGAATAAATAATTGATCATAAATGGAAGCCAGTTTATTTTACAGACCTACCGTAGCCATTGCAATATTTGAGAACTGTCGCAATTGCTTGCATTGCACATGTCTATCGTCAGACATTACATACTGAGAAACATAATTTCTATGTTTTCTTAGTTATCACTTGTCAACCATCAGCCCTGCTGTAAACTCAACACAGTTTATAGAAGGTTTTCAGGAATGGCATCTGGACCGTGCACGTTGCCATATTTACTGTGGCCATCCAAAAAGTAAGTTGGAGTTTTTGTTTTTTGTTTTGTTTCTGGGCAATGATCATTGTTATCCTTAACCCTATTACTATATTTTTGGTACAAGAAAGATAACTAAAAATCTTGCTTCAATATTAACTAGCATCTCCAGGGCTAGAATAGTGGCTTTGGCTGTTGTATGTTTATTATTTTGGTTAAAGGTAGAGTGATTTTTAAAAGAGTTTTTGTTTAAGAATATATTAAAATCTTTTTTTTTCAACTCTTTTTTTTTAATTTTAAACATCAACGTATCAAAATCTTTTAAAACATTAAAAAATATATATCAATTTAATATTTTTTTGAAGTTTTAAAGGTAAAAACAAACAGTTATAAATTTAGAAGACTACAAAATTTGAATGAAATGGTAAAAATATTCGAAGTCCAACAGTTTTGTTTGGGGTTAAATTAGGGTTGGAATCCTAATTAAATCGAGGCAAAATTAACCCAATGATCATAATATAGACCGGCAAGAAAATCAGTAAAGATACTATAGGATCTATCAAAAAGACTCTGCACAAACTATGATGTTATTAACTGAGAGTTTGATCTGGGAGAAGAATTTCTTTATTAAAATGATGTTATTTTGTTAAAAAAAAACCTCAAAAACAAGTTGTATTGATTACAAAATAATAATAAATTAACCCAGCAATTGACAGATTAATCCAGCAACATGTGATCCGAGTTTAAGCAGGATGTTTTATAACTATGATCTTTTTTCTTTTTTCTTTTTTTTTTATATTAAGCATGATGTTTTATAACTATGATCTTGATTCGCATGGTGGCGACCATCGTTAAGCTCTCGATGTGTGTCCTTGCCGTTATGTCACCTTTAATTTTCTGTCGTGGAAAGTGAAAATACTTGCTACCTGCTCAAAGCAAAAGGCATTGATTGCGAGAGCGTTGCCTCTGATACACATTGAATTCAAATTATAGAGCCACCTACCCGCGCAAAAACTTGACTACATGCAAAATAAATTTGTCAGATGTGATGGATCGAGGGAAAGACGGGAAGGATACAGCAGAGTTGATTATTTTTTTTTGTTTTGTTTGATTTTTGTTAGAAAAAAATTAAATTGAATTTCTTTAAAAAATAAAAATTAAATCAAAATTAGTTTAAATTAATATTTAGTTTAGTTTTTTAAATAAAAATCGGTTCAGATCTATTTAGTTTAATTTTTTTATTTTGATTAGATTTGATTTAATTTTTTTGGTTTGGTTTAATTTTAGCTCTGTTTAGCTTGATTTTTTTTGTTTAACTCAGTTTTTTTTATTTTTTTTTGTAAAACAGAACAAAACCGATCAATTTTTTGAAAATTTTAATTAATTTAATTATTTTTTTATGGTTATAATTATTTTTTTTATTTTTTTTATTTACTCGGGTTTTTTATTTTTTTCTGCACCTTGTATAAAGTAGAGCGATAGAGTGAAGAAAGGACGCATATTAGATGCCACTCATATATCCAGCTCTTAGGCTCTTAGGCTAGAGAGAGTAAGAAAGTCTACGCCCACTGCATGCAGCACATAGAAAGGCTTCCAAATACTAGCTGCAATTTCATTTTGAGAGAACGCCTTCAATTTATAACACCAGCTTGCACACCCATAATTGACTGAGCAGTGATAATTGATCTCTGATGGGCAACAATCTTTTGGGAAAGTTTTAAGTTACATCTCTTGTCCTTCGGCAGTTGTTGCTTTCATCACTTTCTTCTAACATTTGCTGGCGCCTTTGCCTGTCCAATAACACAATCATCACATTCAATTTCTTCTTTCTTCAGAAACACTAGCCATTACTGTCTTGTCAAACTGTCAATACTTAATGCCACATGCCGAACCGAAACTTAAGCTTACCATCATCTTAAAATTTCAAGCAACCCGTACCAGTATCAAAACAAAACACCATGGGGCAAAATCAGCGACATTCATTGATTTCACATAAGCAGCTGTATTTAAAAGCAACCAACCAGGCTGGCAGGGCAGTTGGAAACTCACAAGTAAAAAGAATAATTATCTTTTGTAATTTTATTTTATTTTCCACATACACTTCTGTTGCGTAAACAAACAAGATGGAGGGATACTAGCTAATTTGAGATAGAAAAGTTTTGTTAGGAAAATCCCAAGTCGGAAGGAAGAAGCATGAGGCTTGCATCTCTGTTTCAATAAAAGAGAGGACAGGAGCCATGATTGCACTCATAGAGCCATGTGTTAAGCACAGAGCAAACTTTTCTTTCACCTTTTACAAAAGATACAGTGGCAGCAATATCTACCAATATTTAAAGGTGCGGTTCATCTTGTGAAGGGCCCCATTAATTAAGTTGAATTTCGAGTTCCTCCATTATGGAGCCGGCCGATGCTATCAACTACAAAATTTGTTTCAAGAATCAAAACCTGTCTTCGGCCAACAGAAACTCAAAAACAAACCCGTGGTTTCCTGAATCAAAACGTGATACCCTTTACTATTCACCCAGAGCTTGCATATTTAACGTATTTGTCGTCAGGAAAAAATTATCCACGCTCGATGCATTTGACTAAGTTCTCGGCTTCTTCTTCTTCTTCTTTTTTTTAATTTGGTCGGCTTCTTCTTCTTCTTCTTCTTTTTTTAATTTTGAGAATTGTTTTAATTCGATTTTTATTGTTTTGAGGATGTATTTTAATCCGGTAAGCATAGAATTTCATTTACATTTTAATATCTCAGCTCTCTTTACCATCCTCACATTTTAGTCCCTTCATGTCAATTTTTTTAAGAAAATTAATGGGAAGGCTACCCCTATCCAAAAGCTATATTAGCAGGAAAGCGGTCACGGTAGGAATTAATAAGGTATATAAAATTTATATTTTTTGGGCATTTTTAATAGGTTTTAGTTGGGCCTGGTGGAACGGTATCCATTTCATACTCAGCCCATTACCATCTTTAGTCTTCTTCTCGATCTAAAAAAATACCAAATTATATTTAAGAATATAAAGAGAAACCTGAAAAATAAGATTGAGAAATGTATATCATAGACTAACATATGAAAGGGATCATCAGCCCACGACTCATTTAAATTATCATTTTCTTAGTAATTTTACCCAACTTGGACATTAGAGGGATTCGATCACTCTTTCACCTCTAATCCTTGCTTGAGATTGCAAGTCTGAAAAAAATCAATCAACTTGATAATATCTCTGCCGTGAATTAACTTGTTCAGAAGGGTTAGTTTCTTGTGCTGTAAATCTTTAAGGTTATGAACTAAACACATTAAATCGAGCTAATTGCTTTAATAATGCTGAGTGGAGAGTCCATCACGAGAGATCGCTTTTGTTGCTGAGGAAAAAGGAGGAGGAGACGGCGAATATGGCGTGAGCTGGACTGTGCGGACAATAAAGAGGGTGCGAAGGGCTGCTTCTTATGCATATCCCGATGGAGGTTATTTTGAGAAAAATATATTGTTTTAGATAAAAATTTTCTATTCTTTATTATAATGTTTTTTTAGTTTTTTATTTAAAATGAATATTTTCCTTGATTTATTTCTTATTATTAGCGTTCTTTAGTTTTTTCTATATAAATAACTATTATAGCTTTTTGGTAAAAGAAAATAAAAAAAAATAAATTAAATATTCTAAGATTTTTCTAATATTTATAATGTTCTTGTTCTTTAGGGTTTTCAACTGTGACACACCTTTTATCTTCCTCCACCTTCGTCACTTCCCCAACGTAACCGAGTAGTAGCAACTTTGTCTTTCAAGAGTGGTGAAGGCCATTTAGCAAGTGCAAAAGGCTATTGATTCTGGGTTGAAGCCAGGCATGCAGCTAGTTCTGTTTGGACCATTTTATAACTTCAAGCTACGAACCCTCTCAGAACTTAGAATAATGATTTAATGTAGCATTTCGTGGAGTAATTCCTTGATGAAATGAGGAAGATTGAAAATTACAGAAAAACATGACCGGATCCTCTTCCATCGAGCAGGGAAGATTGAGAAGAACGGAGTGAGATGAGTGTAAGCGGAAAGTTGAGGAAAGTAAAAGAGCATATTGTGTCTCTCCGTCTCCCGTCGAGTGGAGGCAATCTAAAGCCAGGTGGGCCTAGTCAGCTGTGATTTCGAGCCCGACATACAGAAGGTCAAAGTTCACATCAGCTGCGTATTGAGCCCATCTAAGTTAAAAGGCCGACATTGTATCTGTCATGAGCCTGTGATGTGGAGGATTAAGAACCGGTAATAGATCCTCCACTGCGGTTCCAAAGCTAAGGTTTTCGTATTAGGAAAGCAG